GTATATGTATGTATGTATGAGAATTAAACAACAAATCTTCATACAACTTAGTTATACATATATAAAATATGGATATAAATTATAACAAAAAAATGTATAAAATAAGAAAATACTTGAAATATTTATAAAAAAGTAAAGGAAGTGCTAAGTTCGGGTGCAACTGAACATTTTATACTCTTACAACTTGTAAGAATCGAAGCCTGTGAAAAACCTTAAGGTATAAATGCGTTAACTAGGGGATCGGAATCCAAGCAATTTTATATATAAATCCAGGGATTGTTCGGAAAGTAATAGGATTGAGTCGATTTATGAAAATGTATAGATCCAATCGATATAATTATATAAAAAGTTCCAAATTGGCTCCGTTTGCGTCAATGCAGTGCTGACAGCGCGATTTCCAAGCATTGAAAGTGTCATGGAAAGCATTCTCTGGAATAGCCTTCAGAGACAAGGTGCATGATGCTTGGATCCCCTATAATTGGCTCTTTCAGGCAAGGAAAGAAAACAACCGAGGGGACCACATATAGTTCGTGGGGCTGCTGCGAAAGCGTTGTGATGTCGGCTTGTTTACAAAACAACAACTTCCAATCGGCTGCGATGTCTTGCCGGACCCGATTAACCCTTCGTTTCAGTCTCTGGAGAACTTCCACGTAAAACTTGGCGTTAATGGTTTGTCCAGGAGGAACAAATTCATGGTGGACGATGCCTTTAGATGTCAAAAAAGGCAATGAGTATCGTTTTCACTTTGGATTTTCTTATTTATCAGCGATCTCTTCCCGGGCCTCCAAAAAGTCCTGGTGCCACCGAACCACACCTTTTCCAAATGCTCAAGCAACAAGTGGGTAAGCCGGTTTGATCATTTCACACAGAATTTAATCGCGTACCTCTACTCTAATGAACGCTGCCTTTTCGGCTTGCACCACTCACAGAAGCACGTCGCTCGAAAATGTTTAACTTGACACTCCAGGTGCTTGGAGACAACTGTGTCGTTCGTTTGCTAAGAATGCTCGCTACCGAACCCAGTCAGTGCGCGCACGCTCGAAAGTATTATTATTTTTCTATTATTTTCCGGACAATCCCTGTTTTGATAGTATCTACCCGATTTCATTTATTTTTGCTAGTACTACATACTATTAATATGCCACATACTAATAAAATACATCCGTAGTTTCATTAAGGTACCTTACATACAATCATCAATCTTATGTAGCAAAGTCCGCCGGATGTTCGAAAATCCTGATATTAGTTATATGATGGCTAAATTTCGCCCAATTTGATTAATTTTAGGCAAAATGATATACTATCATTAAAACACGCTCATTAATTTTCATTTTTATATCTCAAATATTGGTCGATACATTCAAAGCCACCTGTAAGTTTGAAAATCATTGTATTGGGGAGCCGACAGACGCACCATTGTCCGGAAAGATTTTTGGCCGAATTTCAATTGTATATTTCACACATTGATCGATGTTTTCGTTACAGTCGGATTTCCCCCATTTTCGCATCATTACATAGGAATATAAGAATAATGTCTCGTTTCAAATTTGGTACAGCGGGTCCAAGGATTATTGATTCAACTGAAATTGGGTGATGCCACCCCCGTCGCTCAGTTTTCACCCATGCTCCGATACAGCTCTCTCATAAATTTCTTAAAGGGCGGGCCACGCGAACAGATGCCCCTTGCTATCCACTGTGCTTATCTTATTTTAGTGTTTAGTGGGCTTTATGGGTTTGGCAGTGGTCCGATTACCCCTATCTGCGAACTCGTTCTTTTCACTAAGGAACATGTGTACCAAGTTTCACCTAGATCTAATTTTTTTACTGAAGTTATAGCTTGCACGGAAGAACGGACAGACAGACAGTCAACGGGATTTCCACTTTTCGTTATACCGATCATTTATACATATATAACCCTATATCTATCTCGAATAGTTTTAGGTGATCTGTAGCAACAAGTTGCAAGAGTATAAGGTATGTTATTTTATGAAAGCAATGGCATTTCTTGGAAAGTCCGTTTTGAATGTGTTGAGATAGTGTTGGTAAAGAACTAATAAAACTAATTTTATTTAAAATGCGAAAGAGAGAGAAAGAGAAATGGAGAAATAATAAGAGATATGAAGATAGAGASAGAGATACAGGGAGATTAATGTTTTGAGCATTTGAAAAAGTTTTAAATGATAATGGTGTGTTTAGTCCAATAGTAGGTATGAGAGGATCTGTCACTGTGTTGGTGAGCATGAAAAAAAAGTAGCCCAGTGAGAAATTGGATTTAAAATTAAGCAAATTTAATAAGCAAAATTATCAATGACTCCATCGAAAAACGGCCTACCCTGCCTAACAATCTCCAAACTAATGGAACTTGATAGCTGTGTTTTTAGGTTTTCATTAATACGTTCACCATAATCTAAGTATTCGTTTTTAMGTAACCAAACAGATATTTTTTGCAAACAAATATATTTTTTTCTTTAAAAAGACATTTTCGTTCTTTTTCATCTAAATAATTAATAGTATAGTGAAAATTAACAAAATGTCTTTTAAGGATATATTCCCTATTATCTTTAAAAGGCTTGAAACATAAAAGGCATTGAATGGCACCAAAGGCATTTAGAATCATAAAATATTTCTCGCAGGGCAAATTTGGTTTTGCACTATAGTCTTGCCTGATGTGGTTGCTGGTTCGACAACGGCTGAACGATAGAGCGTAAGCGYACGTGTGAAGTTAGTTTGCACAATTGTGCTAAGAAATGCCGACTACTGGTTTAATCTTCATCTCTTTATGTAAGCTAGCGTCTTCATTCAACAATTCATATGCGCTCGTGAACCTGATGAGCTTTCGGAGACTGAAGCTCTCTCTCCTAAAATTTTGCAAAATACTGTTGCCGAAATTAGTTYAAATAAGTGTCCTGATAACTTTATGATACTAGACAAAATTAAATTTGACTGAATTTTCTGCTGATTGTCAAAATAAGAGAGCTAAGTMRTTTTCATGACGCTATTCTTAGAATCATTAGATAGAATACGTTTAGACAGCATTTTGTAAGGCTTTTAGATTTAAAATAGASTTCCATATCAAAACTATATTCACAGTTTGGTTCAATTTGGTTTCAAAAGTGGTTTCGAAAATTCAGTAATTCAATCATTACTTATTGAACTTTGTAAATATGACATTTTCATTATACTCTCGCAACAAAGTTGCTAAAGAGAGTATTATAGTTTTGTTCACATAACGGTTGTTCCTAAGTCCTAAAACTAAAAGTGTTATATGTATATACCAAAGTGATCAGGGTGACGAGTAGAGTTGAAATCCGGATGTCTGTCTGTCCGTCCGTCCGTGCAAGCTGTAACTTGAGTAACAATTGAGATATCATGATGAAACTAGGTACACGTATTTCTTGGCTCCAACAGAAGGCTAAGTTCGAAAATGGGCAAAATCGGCCCACTGCCACTCCCAC